TTTTGGTGCTGTCTGGGGGCAAAAACTGGTGCTGCCCTGAAAGATTCCAGCTCAGTGAGATGTGATTTATATTTGGGGGGCTAGAATAGCAGACAGGGGCGCATGGTGGACACTGTGCCTGTCAGAGGCTGGTGCTTAGGTCAGAGGTGACGTCTCATGTTCTCAGTGGACTGAGGAGTTTTCTTAGTGGATGATGCTGAAGTCCATGGGCAGCAGCAGTGTCTCCTCTGCACATGAGCTCAGCTGAGGCTGGTGAGGCCCCTCCCTGCTGGACCCAGAGCAGGACTCACAGGGCCTCCCCCCGGGATCCCACATGGTTCCCAGATGACACACGTCAGGGCTGGGGTGGAAGACAGGACCCCCAAGCCCAATAAGCAGGTGTGGGGTACACAAATGGGATGAGGAGGTTGGCAGAGACCCTTCTGAGCAGGTCGTTTCACATGTGGCCTGAAAGGTGAGGGTTTGGGGAGCAGAGGCAGCAGGAGCATCAGGGACTGTGAGGAGGCCTGAGGCTGGGAGAGCTCCCTGAATTGGAGGAGTCACCCGAGCCAGAGAGGGCCCCTGGGAGAGCATTGGGAGGGGGACATAGAGGGAGGGGGAGGCTTGGGAGCCCCTTCTTTAAGCAGAGGGATCCCCTGAGGGATGAGACAGGGAGATGACATGAGCTGACTGGAGAGGGTCATGACCTTGGAAGGAAATGGACTTGGGGAGGTGAGGCTGGAGGTGGGGTGGGGTGACCCTTGGGCCAAGTGAGAAATGAGGGTGATGTGGAATAGGTGCTGGTCATGGACATGGATTGAACATTTGGGTGCATTGGAAGTAGACAGTGAGGGGAGTGGACTGAGAAGATCACCCTGGAGTTTCTGGCAGAGATAGCTGTGGAGACACAGGTGCCCTTCACTGAGGAGGAGAAACCACAGGAGGTGATGTGGGAGGGAGGCCCAGGCTCCTGGTTACCTTGGAGACATAGTATTGGGCCTTCCTAGTGACCCTGTGTCCTGGAGGGACAGGGTTTGGTCACTGTGACTATTTCTCCGGTGACATTAACATCCGAAAAGCCGCAGGCCCCGTCCATGCAATGTGGGCAGGACCTGGTCCTGCCCAGTGCTGACTCCTGGTGTCCAGGGTGTGGGGCTCCTGGGTCAGCTGCTGTGAGGAGAAGAAAACAGGCCTCCTGGGGGCTCCTCACAGGCTCTGCCATGTGGGGTGACAGCTGCCATGGGGTCACTGGGGTGGTCACCATCGGGCACAGGCAGAACCCTGCATGGGGCTCAGAGTCAGTCCTGACTGTGCTCCACACTCACCCCTAGTTCTGGGTCTGGGAGCCAAGCAGCCTGGAGCACAGTGTGTGCTCAACAGTGGGTGCTGGTTAGGCACCTCCCCTGTGTCTGCAGGGGTGTCAGGGTGCCTGCCCTTCCCCTCTGCTGACCCATATGATATGCCGTTTCCTTCCTGAAACAGGAAGGAAGTGCTCCCTTGGGTGCACTGTCATGAAGGCAGGGTGGAGGCTGCTGGGATTGCATTTCAAGCTTTCACTTTCAGATCATGTAGGAGCCAGAGAAGGGTGATTGCATTTTTAACAGAAAATTTGGAGGATCCCCAGGATCCCAGCCCTGTTGAGACACCCCTCAATGAGTGCTGAATTCTGCCTGTCTACTCTCTTGGGAACCATCTTCTCTGAGCCATGAGGCCCCTTGGCACCCAGCAGGGCTCCTGAGCAGCTAACAGCAGGTGCTAACTCTGTAAGAAGATTTGGGGAAGCACTGAAACTTCTCAAGTTTGAAGGGACGCCCTAGAAGCCCCACCATTTCAAAGCAGGTATGTCAGATTTGAAGACATGTTTCTTTTAAGAAAAGAAAGTGGGGAGCAGCTGACTGTAAGGAGGGGCTGAGAAGGTGGTGGGGCTTGGGTGGGATGGGAGGTGGCACAGGAAATGGCCCAGCTCTAAGAGGACCCAGTACAACCTCACTGAAGATTATCTTTTACTTAATTTAATGTGTCTGTAACACTCTTGGGGCAGGACCCTGTTCTAGAATTTTAGGTAGTGACTCTTCCAATATAACTCATGTAATTCTCGTTCCAACCTTGGTTGGGAGATGCTGATGCTATTCACATTTTTCTGTGGGGAAAGTGAGGCAGGAAGGTTAAGAGACTTGATGAAGATGGTCACACAGAGAGTGGCTGAGTCTAGAGATGACCTCAGAGTCAGCCCCAGAATCTGCCCTCCCAGGACCATCGCCTGCCTCCCCCCAACCCTAGCCAGTAGGTGGTTTGAGGGTGTTTTCTCTGAGCAGGACTCATTTCCTTTCTCTGCTGCTCTGACTCACTGGGTCCCTCATGCTGAGCCAGAAATCCCCACAGTTAGAGAGAAGGAAGAAGCCCTCAGTGGGGATCTGACCCAGCCCTGTTGTGTTTGGGCAGGACCTTGACCTTGGCCCTGGCAGGTCAGGGCTGGGGAAGGACTGACCTTCAGGTCAGTTGAAAAAGCAGATAGAACAGGACAGGGGCTTTTGGGGCCACCCTGACCCCTTGGGGACAGTGTCATGTGTCCTGAGTCTTCACCTGCAGGCTTCTTCTTCATGGGGGGCCTGGGTCTGGGCCTCTGTCCTGGGGAGTCACTAGGTGTGATGATGGGGAGGAAGGCAGTTTGCACCCCAGGCCCGGGTGCTGGGAATGAGGGACCTGGTGTTCTGAGCAAGTGGGTCTGGGGTGTGGGTTCCACGGGGTGGGAAGGGAAGGGAGGATGTTTTTCTCCAATAAACCTCATGGTCTCTAGCAGCACAGAGGCTCAGAAGCCCTGAGAGAAGCCAGGTCTGTCCTCCTTGATCTCAGGGCCTAAAGGTTCACTAGGAAAAGACCTGCTCCTGCTGGTGGGGGTCCCTGAGCCCTGTTCTCTGCTGATCCTAGAGCTCCTGGTGGCCCTGCTCCTCTGTGGGCCTGGCTGCCTCCTGTCCTGTCTCTCCCCAGCCCTGAGGAGATGGCGCCCTGCTCCTGCCCCAGTTCTGTGCTCTGCCTCCTCCCTTCCCTGCTGCTCTTCCTCCAGCTGCCCCTGGGGGCTTCACAGGTGAGTGAGTCCCTCCCAGTTCCAGTGTCTCCCTCAGTTGGGTGGGACCCAGGGGCTCTGGGAGCTCCTTCTTCAGGAATTGCCTTTATTCATTTGTCTTAGCATAATGTCTTCAAGTTCCATCCATGTTGTTTAAATGGCATGATTTTACTTATTTAAAAAAAAAAAATATCCGTGGGCCTCCCTGGTGGTGCAAGGGGTTAAGTCTCACCATTATCAAGCTATCACCAGCCATTGCAGTAGGAAGTTTGATCCTGGCCAGGGAGCTGATCCACATCTTGTAGCAGACCTCTCCTTTCTTGCTAGTTGCTCCCCTCAGCAGTCTATTTCTGCAGTCTGCCTGTTCTTCTCCCCACTCTGTCTCTGGCGAATACCCTCATTCCTCACACTTCTGGCTTATATCTCAGCTCTTGTATGCATACTTAAATAAAAATAAATCTTTAAAAAAAATCTGACGGCCTCCCCCAGTGGCGCAGAGGTTGAGCGCTGGGATGCAAAGCTGCCTGCAGCCTCTGCAGCACCGGTTCAATCCCCGGCCACCAGCGAGGGTCCCAAATGGCACGCAGACCTCTCCTGCTGCGCCTGCTGCTCCCCTCAGCAGTGTATTTTGTCAGTCTGCCTGTTCTGCTCCCTGCTCTGTCTCTGGTGAATTCTCTCTCCCGTGCTTCTGACACTACCCAGTGCTTGTATAAATAAGTAAATAAATAAATCTTTAAAAAAATAAAATAAATCTGAGTACTATTTCATTATGTGTATGTGTATGTATACATGTAATGTTAGTATATTTCTTTGAATGAATCTCTGTTCCTGTCTCTTCAAATTGTGGAATATCCATTATGCTTATGTTGCCTTTCCTCATATATTGCTTAGTTCTTCCAGTTTTTCTTCATTTATCTCCTATTAGGACCATTGTTCATTATTACTGTCAGGCCACTGATTTGATCTTTCATTTGGTCTATTCTGTTCCAATACCTTCTCCAGGAGTGAGTAGCTTCTCTGCTAATCTTTTTACAGCCCCATCTCTGTGATGTTAATTTAAGACTTCAAATTTCTGTTTCTTTTTACTCATTTTATTTTCCAAGTCATTCATTTATTGTTCTGAATTTTGTTTTTCTCTTTGATTCACTTTTCTGTGTTTTCTCCATTTTTTTGCCTTTCTTTATTATGGCAATTTGAACTCTACGTGATAGTAAGATATGACCTTCCATATCTTTGTAGTTGCATATTGCAGAGTTGGTCTCATCTTGTGATTTCATGTTTCCTTGAGATCTCAAGTTTCTGGGGCTTATTTTGAACATTTATGTGGTGTGACCACCACAGCGTGTGCTACAGCCTCCCCCACCCTGACCACAGCCTCCAGGTGTCTTCTCTGCCTAACTCTTGGTCAGTGAAGCATGACTCTCCTCTGTGTTCCTTTTGTTGCTGTCTGCCTGGTAACTGCTGTATAAGAGTGTCCTGTTTTGCCCCAAGCCTGGTGTTCTCTGGGTCCCCTGTCCATTCATTCACACTGATGATATGAAATGGATTTCCTGTGCAATGAAATGGATTTCCTGAGACACCTTCTTAGTCCCCTGAGAACTCTTTTGAAATGGACGTTCTTGGGCACATCCCAATCTGCTGCATCAGGCCTGCCATAGGGCCCTGCATTTTACAGTTACCAGCCCTCCTGGAGATTGTGATGGTGAAGGTGAGAACCATGGAGTTAGGGTTTTTTATGGAAGGTCCTGCTATCAGGTACACTAGTGAATGAGGGAGCATTTTTGACATCATTTCTGGACCACAAGTGTAGTTGGGAGATCTTCCCAGATTCAGAACTGTCACCGTTAATCCTTCATGTCAGCTGTCTGCTCATAGACACCTTCCCTTAGCCTGCCGGGGCCTCCCCCAGTGATGGTGTGTGTTCCCCGATACCACTGCGTCTCTCAGCCTTTCTCTCATGTCTGTGTTCACAGAGAGGTTCCATGTGCTTGGCCCCTCAAAGCCCATTGTGGCAGAGCTGGGCAAGGATGCCACACTGCCCTGCTCCCTGTACCCAGCAATGAGTGCAGAGAACATGGAGTTGAGGTGGTTCCAGTCCAATGTCTGGGAGTCAGTGTTTGCCTATCAAGACCGACAGGAGCAGAATGAGGAGCTGATGGCCCAGTACAAAGGGAGGACCTCGCTGGTGGGGAAATTCCTCAGCAAGGGGGAGGCCGCTGTGCGTATCCACAATGTCCAAGTGTCTGACAACGGGCTGTACACCTGCTTCTTCAGCAACGGAGTCTTCAGTGACCAAGCCAGGTTGGAGCTGCAGGTGGCAGGTTGGTGACATGTTAAATGTCTGAGAGTCCTGGAGTTTTGGAATTGGGGAGAAAATAAAGGCAATGAAATTTAATTTTTCATTTCATGTATGAGTAAGAAAAGGCTGATTAGTTCATGTTTTATGAAATGTGAAATCCAGGGTACCTACTACATGTCTGGCCCTGTTCTAAACTCTTGGATACGAAAGCAAATCTAATAAAGTTCTTTTTTTTTTTAAAGAGTTATTTTTATTTATTTATACAAGCACTGGATACAGTCAGAAACGTGGGAGGGGGCCTCCCCGATGGCGCAGCAGTTGAATGCTGGCTTGCGAGGCTGCCCGCAGCTCTGCAGCGCCGGTTCGATCCCACATGGCGCGCAGACCGCTCCTGCCGCCCGCTGCTCCCCTCAGCAGTGTACTTCATCACTTTGTCAATCTGCCTGCTCTGCTCTCCCCTCTGACTCTGGTGAATTCTGTGACCCTCTCACACTTCTGACTGTACCCAGTGCTTGTATAAATAAATAAATAAATAAATAAATAAATAAATAAATAAATAAATAAATAAATAAATAAATAAATCTTTAAAAAAAGAAACGTTTAAAATCAATCAATCAATAAATAAATGTTACTTTGAAAAAAGAAAGAAACGCGGGAGAGTGAGAGAATTCACCAGAGCCAGAGCAGGGAGCAGAGCAGGCAGAAGGACCGAAGTACACTGCTGAGGGGAGCAGCGGGCAGCAGGAGAGGTCTGTGCGCCATGTGGGACCCTCCTCCGGTGGCCGGGGAGCAGCCGGGGATCAAACCCGTGCTGCAGAGGCTGCGGGCAGCTTCACAACCCAGCACTCAACCACTGCGCCACCGGGGAGGCCCTAATAAAGTTCTTCACACTGTGAGTTTATATTTATAGTGGGAAAGAGAGAAATCGTAATAAATAACCAGAGCATAAATGATGTTTCAAAGTGAGAAGTGGTGAGGACAGGAAGCTAAATGGAGCAGGGAGATGGGTCAGCAATGTGGGGCTGGGGCTGAGGGGAGGTTCCAGTAATAAATAGTAGCTCAGGCTGGGGCCATGGGAGCAAAGACTCCAGGGAAGTGGGAATACAGCTGAGTAGATATCTGATGTGTGGGTGTTCCTTTCTCCACAATTTATAGACAGATAATTACCACGTATCGTATATAATGTGAGGCATACAGCATAATGACTGATTTATATATATAGTGAATTGATGGCCTCAATAGGTTAAATCACATCTGTCTGCTATTATAGATTTAGTAAAAAGAAAGAAAAAGAAGCAAAAAGGGTAAAATTACCTCATTTTGAAAAAAATTCTTTGGAGTTTGTCCTTTAACAACTTCCCTACATGTCACACAGCAATGTTGGCTACAGGCATATTGTACATTACAGGGGCAGGAATTTCTACGTGGCAGCACAGCCCGTGTGAATGTCCTGGGGTGAGTGTGTGTTTGGTGTGTGATCTGCTCACATGGAGTCCTCATGGCTGGTGTGGGAGAATAGAGGAGCAGGGTGCTGTGAGGTGACAATACTCTCATAAAAAAATGTGGTAAGGTCATGGCGGAGAGGTCAAGGGTGGCTGATGAATGCTCCCAAAGATAATCAGAAAAACCTCCATATGATGTAGATATTTGAGCTGGGATGTCATTTTGTCTAACAGGTTCTATGAAGCCCCTCAGACCAGATGAAGAAAGGATGATGGAGTCCACAGAGCCTGGTGATTGTGGACAACAGCAGTTAGAGTCTTTAGTTTGGGGTTTTGGGCCTTGAGGGCACAGGTGTAAAAGTTGAGCACTGCAGAGAGAAGAGGCTGGGGAGGAGTCACAGATGGGGAGTCCTGGTGCACATGTGTGGTGTTTGCATATGGAGCTGATGAAGATTTTTGGCACAGCAGCGCTTAGCATGTGACTCTGGCAGTAGTGGGGAGGACAAGGGCGGGGACAGTATCTGGAGTTGTGGCTGCAGTTACGGGGTGGAGAGGGGGGCTGGTTCACACAGTGGCAGTGGGTGCACAGGAGGTGCCGTCAGTGAGGTTTAGAAATAACCCAATTGAATGAGGAGAATTGGGTCACAGAATTTAAAGTGGAAGAAGGGATTGCAGAGGCTTCCGAGGCTTTGCATAGTCTATTTGTTATTGAATGTCAGGAACATTAATAATGTGTATCATTACCTGTCACCATAATGCTGCTATGTAACAAAGAACCAGAGAAAATCTCTCTGTGGCCTGTAGTAATGGATCTGTATTAACATGGGCTGGTGGGGACTTCAGCTAAACTGGCCTATACTTGACATGGATGTGCCAGCTAACCTGCCATGGACTTCACAGAGTGAAGAACTTTATTTTTTTGTTAGATGAAAATGTCACCAAGTGGACCTTGGCTGGGCTTGTTGCATGAATGGGCACTGGCTCCTGGCTGGGGCAGGACAGCTTCAGGGGAAAGGCTGGTGACAGGCCCTGCTCTGTCCTATGGAGCTGGCAGAGGGAAGACCCATGGGGCCAGCACTTTAAACCTCTGCTGAGTCACATGAGCTGATCTCTCATTAGACACATGAAGTCACGTGACTGAACCCAGAGTCAGAGTGTGAGTAAAATGTACATGGCAGAGTGTGAACCTGATATGAAGAAGGATGGTGAACTAGGCACATTTTACCTCAGATGAGACAACAGCATGAGTTCAGATGTAGAATTTCAGGTGTGAAGAGCATGTGAGGAATCCTGGCAGATGTAATCCACAGAGATGGGGCTATCAGGGAGGGAGGAGGGAAGCTGGTAAGGTGATATCTATAAGTGATGTGTGAGGAGACACAGAAGCTGAGGGAGAAGAAGCCCTGGGAGAGGGTGTGAGATAAGATGGGGCTTTAAGGACTGGACCCTGGGACTGTGCTGCCTTCAAGGAGCAGGTGCAGGGAGAAAAGTCAGGAAAGGGGCTCAGCAGGGGTCCAAGTTACAACAAGCCACCTTCAGAGGGAAGTGACCAACCCAAGACGGAGGTGGTTTCAAGGTCAGGAGTGTCCTGACTGAAGGGAGACTGGGTGAGAGGACCTTGGAGACTGGGGTTGACAAATGGGAGACTTTTGTTGAATCACCCAGAACAGAATGGACTAGAAGGAGAAGCTGCTGGATAGATGTTAAGATGTTGGTGAGAAATGAGCAAATACAGTTGCTTATGGATTATAAGGTGTACTCTTCTAACAAGAAAATAATTTTACAAAGATTTGAACATGTTTATATGATTATAAAAATAATAGGTAGAAAGGTAGAGATGAACATGTCAGGTCATCATCTTGCTCCAGGTCTCCCCCAGATCCCCTCAGAGTGCACCTTGACAGCCTCCCCTGGAGGTATGCACAGGAGGGCCCTGCCCCACCTGGCTCTCATCTTCCCTCCACAGGTGTGGGCTCTGCCCCCAAGTGCACATCTTGGGGCCAGAGGAGGACGGGGTGCGTGTGGTGTGCACAGCCTCGGGCTGGTTCCCGGAGCCCCAGGTGCAGTGGAGACACCCCCGTGGGGAGCAGTTCCTGGAGTTCTCCAAGGTCCAGGCCCAGGACAATGAGGGGCTTTTCTGTGTGGAGGCCGCTCTGGTGGTGAGAGACAGCTCTGTGGGGAGCGTGACCTGCTCCATCCTCAACCCTGTCCTGGGCCAGGAGAAGGCCATGGCCATTGTCATCCCAGGTCAGCACTGCTCCCCACTCCATCCTCCCTGCAGTATCAGATGGGGGGCTGGCAACCCCAGGTGTGCTAGCCTGGACTGTATCTTGATGGGGTCTCTGTGGGGTCTCTGACTGCAGAGCCCTTCTTCCCCCGGGCCTCTCCCTGGAAGCCAGCTTTCCTGGTGATCCTGCCCTTGCTGCTGCTCCTGCTCCTGGGGGCTGCCTGCTACACCCAGAGAGAACATTCCACACAGGATGTCCTGCAAGCTCTAAGTAAGCTTTGCTCTCCCTCCTGAAATCTCTGTGTCCCCTTTACTGGTGACATTCTGGTTCTTAGCTCACCTATGTCCTTGTTATCTTTCAGACCAGAGGAAGGCAGCATACCTGGCTGGTGAGTGATGCTCCAGGGGTCCTGGGTCCCTGTCCCCTGTGCTCAGGGGTCCCTCCCCTTGGCTGTCTAAGCACAGACATGTGGACCCTTCCTTGGGTGGGAGCTGGTAGGAGGCGGGACCCTGCTCCATTGGCTCTCCCAGATCTGGGTGCTGTTTCCCCCATTGTTGGGATCCTGGGGGGTGGTGACCCTTGGGTTCTCCTGCATCTGGTCTCATTTCAGCCCTGACTTTCCCACCATGGTGCTGGCTTTCTAGTCCTCAGTGCATCTCATTCTTGGTCAGCACCTGGAAGTAAAGCAGCTGCTCTGGGATTTTATAAGTAAATGGACTCTTGAAATTTAGGAGTGTGACCTCCTCCTGCCTTTTCTCCCCAAACAACCCCAAGAAAAGTCTGTTCTCTCTGCTCCTGAAGATGCTGATCAGTAGTGCTGGGAGAGGATGTGGTGACCTTGCATAGGAGGGAGTGGGGGGACTTGCCTTCTTCCAAAGAGTTTTTATCCCTAGAAATACTGCACTGGAGGAAGATGGGCCATTTCTCTCTGGAGCTGGTGTGATGTTCATGTTGTGTTTTTATTTCATCTTCCCATTAATTTCCAAGGAAATACTGAATGTAATAATTATGAAATAATATGCATGCTAAAAATATCTTCCCATATACTGTTTTTGATCCTGTGTAGCAACACTGAGTAGCAGGTGAAGCAGGAGCTTTGAAGGCTGTGGGGCCCAGAGCCGCTCAGTGACTTGCCCAAAGCCCCACAGCAGCAGCAGGCAGGGCTGGGTCAGTCTGTCCTGCAGGCTCCTGACCTGACCCAGGGGATTTCCCACCACCCCCTGCTGTCTGCACAGGGCTGGGGATCATGACCTCTCCAGCCTCTCCCCTCCACCCCCAGAGAGTCTCACCTGCAGATTAGGGGTGACCAGGGCCCTGGGATCACAAGAGCAGTTGGTTGTGCTGAGGTCTCACCTGTGTGTTCCCTTTCAGCCTGGAGGAAGGCCCAGCTGTATGCAGGTGAGTGGCCCTGAGGGTCCTGAGTACCTCTCTCAGCCTTCCCTCTGCTCCTTCTCTATCATGGACCCCCACCAGTAAGGACCTGGGGTTCCTGGTCTTCCCTCACTCTAGAGCCTCCTCTGAGAACTGCAGGGACCCCCCCTCCTTGTGAGCACAGACCTGCCTCCACCTGCCCTGTCCTCCCTGCAGGTCATGTGGGGTCAGGACACCCTCTGACCCTTTGTCACCTGGTCCTTTCTTTCTTTTTTTTTAATTTAAATTTTATTTTTATATTCCCCATACAATTACAACCCCCTTATTTTTACTCCAAGCCCTCCTTTCCCCACCCCCCAACCCCCATAGAGTGTCTCTTGTTCATAGTTGTTTGTTTATTTTGATATTTTCTTTATTATAGTTATTCTTTTTCCTGGTCCCTTATTTAAGTTTTCTAGATTCCTGCCATGAGGGGTTTTTCTTTTTCTTTCTGGCTTATTTCGCTGAGCATGATCCCTTCCAGCGCCATCCATGTTGCTCCAAATTGCATGTGTTTATCTTTTTTGAATGCTGAGTAATATTCCATAGTGTATATGTACCACATCTTCTTGATCCAGTCATCTATTTTTGGGCATTTGGGTTGTTTCCAAAGCTTAGCTATTGTAAATAGAGCTGCTATAAACATAGGGGTGCAGGTGTTCTTTGGAATTGATGTTTCTGTGTCCTTTGGGTAAATACCTAGGAGTGGAATTGCTGGATCATATGGAACCTATATGTTTAGTAGGTCAAGAAATCTCCACACAGCTCTCCATAGTGGGACCAGTTTGCACTCCCACCAGCAGTGCAGGAGAGTTCCTTTTTCTCCACGTCTTCGCCAACATTTGTTTTTGCTAGTTTTTTTTAATATGTGCCATTCTTACTGGTGTAAGATGGTATCTCATTGTAGTTTTGATTTGCATTTCCTTGAATACAAGTGATGTTGAACATTTTTTCATATGCCTGTTGGCCATTGTATTTCCTCTTCAGAGAAATTTCTTTTTAGCTCTTCTGCCCATTTTTTGACTGGATTATTTTATTTGTTTTGTTGAGTCTCATCAGCTCTTTGTAGATTTTTGTGATGAGTCCTTTTGTGATGAGTCCTGATAGGACTCATTTTGTGTTGTGTGCAAAAATGTTCTCCCAGTCTGTGTGGTTTCTTTTTGTTTTGGTTATTGTCTCTTTTGCTGTGCAGAAGCTCTTTAATTTGATGTAGTCCCAGCTGTTCATCTTTGCCTTCACTATCACTGCTTTGGGTAATGTGTCTGTAAAGATGTCTTTGATGTGCCTATCATGTAGTGTTTCGCCTATATTTCCTTCTATGTATTTTATGGTTTCAGGTCTTATGTCTAGTTCTTTAATCCATTTTGAGTTGGTTTTTGTGCATGGTGTGAGGTAGTAGTCAAGCTTTATTCTTTTGCATGTAGCAACCCAGTTTTCCCAGCACCATTTATTGAACAAACTTTCTTTGCTCCAATGCATATTCTTTGCTCCTTTGTCAAAGATTAGTTGACCATAAATCTGTGGGTTTATTTCTGGATTTTCTATTCTATTCCATTGGTCTGTGTGTCTGTTCTTGTCTAGTACCTTGCAGTTTTGGTGATTATGGCTTTGTAGTAAAGTTTGAAGTCTGGGAGTGTGATGCCTCCATTCCCTTCCTTTTTTTTTTCAGGAGAGCTTTGGCTATTCGGGGTTTTTTGTCACCTGGTCCTTTCTTATGGGTGAGGACAGTGGGGGTCAGTGTGAGGAGAGGTGCAGCACATACAAGTGTGTAGTTCAGGATTTGCTGATCTCTTGAAAATTCCGGACATCCTACTTCCTGCTTCCAATTCAGGTCTTGCTAAGGGGTCCTGGGTTATGGATCCTTCTGGATCCAAAATCCCAGTCCTATTTTGGATCTAGTTTTTGTTTCCTGTTTCCTCTTGATTCTCTGTCTTCTCATGCATGCTCTGATTCATGTCCAAGCTGGATTTTTCTTCTAATCCTTGTGGGTGCTGAGGAATCAGTTGTTTAGAGCAGGTGTTCTGAGCCTGGTCAGAGCTTCTGTGGTGTTTACGACTCCTGGGCAGGGGCCTGTGAAAGGTCTGAAATTACATGTAAATCTTGGGTGTGTGTGTGTGTGTGTGTGTGTGTGTGTATGTGTGAGTGTGTTGTGTGTATATGTGTGTATGTGTATTTTTTGTGTCTTTGTAACAAGATAAACAATGTATGATTTTCAGCCATCATCTTTTTATGGAGAATTCTGTCTGACAGTCTCATGGTCGCTATTAAGTAGGTTTTTGGTGTTTTTTAAGAGGTTTTTATATAGACTGGAGAAGAACAAACCTAAAATGGCTATAATCTATTTCCAAAGAATTGGGGGGAAATTTGAAAGAAAAGTCTGCGTGGAGATAGAGAGGGGAAGGAAGTAGACGGGTGTGTGGGAAAACAGCCTTATAGAGGTTTTGGGCACAGTCACCAGTTTGAATTTGTGCTGTGCAAACACCGTGCAAGGCTTGGGAATGAAACACAGTGGGCCTTTTGAAGTACTTCAGATAAAGTTACACTTTAAAAACCATTATTGAGGTGACCATCTAATTGTGGTGTCTCTCACATGATCCCCACCAGTGCCCCCAGGTTAGGGTCTGCACAGGGTCCTGCAGGGAAGGCCAGCGATGCTGGTGAAGGGAGATCTGAGCCTCCTGAGCCTGAGTTGCTCTCTCCCTTTCCCTGCTCAGGGGTTTGTTTATGGTCCTGGACACAGACCCTGAGACACAGAGAGGAGGGTTGTAGGTGAGGGGCCTGGGGACCAGGAGAGTGAGGACCCTCCTGAGAGTCTCCCTGGTTCCCCTAGGACTCATTTCCATACAGTGAGGAGCAGAGTCTTTACCATCATTCCAGCCTCTGCTGAGTTCATGTCTCATGCATTTTGACATAAACTTTCCTTTGGCATGCAAAAAGAATGGTGAGTTTGATGAAACACCATTGGTACACTAGAATAATCATTTTGATATTGAAAGATTCACAGATGGATACATGTGTGATCTCGTATATTTTTTTTATGTTTTATTTATTTATTTATTTGTTTGTTTTTTGTTTATACATGCACTGGGTATAGTCAGAAGCGCGGGAGGGTGAGAGAATTCACCAGAGCCAGAGCAGGGAGCAGAGCAGGCAGAAGGACCAAAGTACACTGCTGAGGGGAGCAGCGGGGGGCAGGAGAGGTCTGCGCGCCATGTGGGACCCTCCTCCGGTGGCCGGGGAGCAGCCGGGGATCGAATTGGCGCCGCAGAGGCTGCGGGCAGCTTCTCAACCCAGCGCTCAACCGCTGCGCCGCCGGGGAGGCCCTGATCTCATATTTTTAAAAAAGATTTATTTATTTATGCAAACAGGAGCTGGGGTACGGGCCAGAGATGTGGTGGGTGAGAAGATTCACCAGAGACAGAGTAGGGAACAGAACAGGCAGAATGACTGAAATACACTGCTGAGGGGAGCACCAGGCAAGACAGGAGAGGTCTGCTTTGCCATGTGGTTTCTCCTTGGCTGGCCAGGGATCGAACTCATGCTGCAGAGACTGTGCATTGCTTCATAGTGCGGTGCTTAACCCCTTGTGCCACCAGGAGGCCTGATCGCGTGCTATTTGTAAAAAATTTTTTTTAAAGATTTATTTATTTATTTATACAAGCACTGGGTACAGTCAGAAGCGCAGGAGGGTGAGAGAATCCACCAGAGCCCGAGCAGGAGCAGAGTAGGCAGAGTGACAAAATGCACTGCTGAGGGTGGCAGCGGGCCGCAGGAGAGGTCTACGCGCCATGTGGGACCCTCGCTGGCAGCCGGGGATCGAACCAGTGTTTCAGAGGCTGCGGGAAGCTTCACAGCCCAGTGCTCAACCGCTGCGCCACCAGGGGAGGCCCTATTTGTAAAATTTAACAAAAATTTTCACTTAAAGTTTTGCCACAAAAATTAACTGACTAGCGCAGTGCAGTGCATACACAGTACTGGGCATGCTG